CCGCCGAAGGTGAGCTCGCCGTTCGCGTCCGAGTCGGACGTCGTCGGCGCGTAGTAGACGCCGATGACCTCGGACGAGATCGTCCCCTGCGAGAGCAGGTTGTCGGTCACGGTCGGGACGGTGGTCTCGCCGTTCACGGTGCCCTGGGTGAGCGCGACGGGCCCGATGCCGAGGATGCCGTCGACGCCGCTGAAGCCGGTTGAGGTCGACGCTACGCCGATGCTCTGCTTCTTGATGACGAGGCCGTTCGCAAGCGTCACGGTGTCCGTGTCTTAATCGATAGAATAAATCAGCTTCAGGAGCACAAAATCACAAACAAAGATAACAGAAACTCACACTCCGTGCCGGAGAACGAGCCGGAGCCGTACGAGACGGAGACGCTGTCGCCCGTGCTGGTGCTCGTGGACGTCTTGGCGTACGTCTTATCCGCGCCGATCCAGGTGTTCGACGAGCCGGTGTCGATGAGGAGCGTGTAGTCCGTCGCGGGGCTGCCGACGCCGACGCTCGCGGTATACGTGACCGCGGTGTTCGTGACACCGAAGGACGCGGTGCGCTTGGCGTGGTTCCCGGCGACCTTCTTGCCGTTCGAGAGGAGCTGGCCCGCGCGGGCGCGGTCCATCTCCGCGATCGAGCTGCCCGAGATGTTGAGCCGGCGGGCGAAGGGGAGCGACACGCCCGGGGCGCGCACCTGCACGACGGGCGACGCGGCGGCCGCGAGCGCGAGGAGGACGGTGGCAGCGAGGGAGGAGGCGGGGAACATCGCGAGGCAGGCCGGGGGGTGACGAAGGGGACGGGTCCAAGGCGACTCGTTGCGGAAAGAGTACGGCCCTCGTCGTGTTTTATAGGGGAGGAAGAAGCACTAATCACATCACATGTCGAGTTCCATGCGCGACATCTACAGCAAAAAAACATACGAAGAAGCACGTTGTGTGGCGACCACTTGATCGCGAGAAAAATAGAGCACTCACTAGTGCAGACTAGCGCCCCCGAGGATCCCGTAGGCGGATTGGTTCTCGCGCGTGTCGTTGCACATGGAAAGTCGCGAAGCGATGCGAAGAGCCTCCAAGACCACACGCAGGGCCTTCGATATTCGCGATATTCCAAATGCACTTGCATTGTCCGCTTCATCGGCCTCCCGGATTGGCAAACGTCTGCCCTAATGTCTTCACCGAACTCCAACGAATTCTGAGATTTCGCAGAAATCTCGCAGCGATCCCTCAGCAATCGTCGTACGGGGTTGACTTACGGGCGTCCTGGTTGGAGGAAGAAAAGGGTTTTAGGCAAATTTAAGGAAGAGATAAGGGCCGTCAGCAGATAACACCTGAAAGGCGTTTTAATTGACGCGTTTCGTTCGCTTAGATTATCAATGTCATTGCTTACCTCATACGATCGACCCATGATCGCCCTACTTTCACCCTACTTTACTTTTTCCACCGTGCTCCTCCGAACATCTGCGCTCAACGCGCGCTTCTCGCAGCGCAAGGCCTTCCTCGCTTGCACACAGCACCGTATCGCATGGCAAATCCCCAGAAGCTCATTTTCGCAATGTTGCAGCATCATTTTCCGTGATGGCGAAAGCGCCGAGCGACGACGTCTCAATGGCCGCAGAACGTCGCGGAAGCCCGTCCTCGCCGAAGAGCGCATGGTCCCACACGATACACGTGCTCCGGGCGCATATGTTCGCTCCTCGGACCTTCCCGATGGCCCGCAACATATGCTCTCTTGTGTTCCGACGCTCTCCCTCCCCCGCATGCACGCGACAAATCTGAATGGCGTGCGCCCGCGAAGCCGCACCCCGCGCTGCTTCTAGATGCGGCCCCGCCTCTTCTCATGGTGCAGCATGTATATTTAGGGTCTATGTATTAGTTTTGTCTGATATCTTCGTAATTGCTCTTCGGGCGCGCGTGTGGCTCGTATGTTATCTTAGCGCCAAGATACTTCTTCATCATGCTTCCCCGCACTGAAGTGGACAAACAGACATGTGCGATCCTGGCGCTCGCCATCTGGCGTGCTTTGCTTCTGCCTTCTTTCAAAGAATGGGGCAAGGACGTCCAGGAAGACGCATGTGCGCCATGTAATTCGAAAATATCGAGGTCGATTACATGGATGGCCTTATGGTACATAGGAAGGAAGATCTATCGGCTCTACATAATGTACTTGTTTAATTAAACTTCGTTCCATGCTTATTGCGTCAAAGTACAGCATCTTGGCTTTTGGAGGACCCGGGCAATCCAAGCAGAGCTCTGTCGGTGAACGTACAATTTTCTAGAAGTCTGGAGGCTGAGGCGAAGAAAACGGCCTCACGGCCTAATACACTTGGTACGGCTGTCTGATCGGAAAGCGTAATTGGCCTGACTACCACTCATAACAAAGAAGAAAGAGCGAAAGACGCATAAAAATGATAGCGAAACTCGCTCACAAGGATGCACGTCAGAGGGAGAGTGTGAATAGTGCACGGAAGGCGAGCTAGTTTCGCCATGATGTGAGTCTACAAATGCATATTACATAAGCTAACTTGGCCCGATGAAAATGAAGTACGTAAGTCCTCTTTTCTCATCCTGAGCTATGCTCTAGAACTTAAGACACGCCAATTCTGGGACTTTCATGTGTCCAGCCGACAGAGTAGAGACAGCCTGCAGATCTCAAGACTCCCTATGCGAGACAGGAGGAACACTCGTCTTCTGCGGAATCCAGCTGCCTCTTACGCAATACAAGATCGGATTTAATGGAGAGCTGGGATTCAATTTCGTGTTCGTGTAGAGCAAGCATGGGCGTACTAGTGAGGTGCGATCAATAAGCATAAGTGCGCTTTGGTAAGTAGAATAAAGGGTGATGATGCGATGCAGATAGATGGATGGACAGACGAGTACTTTTCGACCCAAAGAAACCAAAAGAAAAACCTCCTCCTCCTCCTCCTCCCTCTCATTTCCCCACCATCAACAACTGTTTTCACCCACCCCTTATTCAAATCACCAACGTCTTCTCATTATCTTCCCAATTCAGTTCCGGAGCGTCGAATCACCGCTATGCTCCAGGACCTCGTGCAAACCGCGCAGGCGTTTACTCCTTGATTTTGGCGAGGATCTCCGAGTCGCGGAAGAGGTGGAACTCCTGCGTAACAGAAAAAAAAGACGGTTTTTGTCAGCTACGTGTCGCGGAGGTAACCGGGTGGAAGAAAAGAAGAAAAAGCGTGGAAAGAGCTGAGTTTTCGGGCGCGACGATGTCCATGCGCAACGTGTCCTGCACATCAAGCGGCGGACCGAAAGAGCGCTTACAGTGCGCCCAACCCAAGCTGAGCTGAAAAGCGGCATAGATACGAAAATCAAGTCCGCTTTCTCCTTCCGTAAACACGACCCGTCGACGTCCACGCCCCCAAAAACACTAGACAATACCCACATCCTCTCCAACCTTGATGGAGTTCCCGCCCCAGCCCGGGAGAAGCACGCGATCGCCAGCCTTGACGGCGGTGGGGACGACCTTGCCCTCCTTGTCCGGTGCGCCGGGGCCGACGGCGATGACGGTCGCCTCCGGGAGCGGGCTCGTCGTCGAGCTCGAGGGCAGGAAGATGCCCGTCGCGGTTTTCTGGATGACCACGTCAGCATGCCGTGCACCGCAGCACCGCACAAGGTGCAGGGAAGACGCACCGTCTCGGGCTTGAAGCGCTGGACGAGCACGCGGTCCAGGAGGGGGAAGACGGCCTTGATGGACTTGAACGTCGCCTGGGTTGCCTGCAAGCGCCCGAGGAAAACAAGTCAGAAATCAGACCCCGCGAGAACTGCCGCCAGCGGCGAGCACGTACCATTTTCTGAGTGGTGAGTAGGAAACTGGAGCGGAGAAAATAAACTGGGCGAAGAGTGGTTGGACGAGGTGGATGATGACAACGACGACGAAGGAAAGAAAAAATCCAGTTTTGGGCTGTGGGCGGCGCGGCGGATGCCGATAGTAAAACAAAACCGATCGGTTTGGGCCAAATCCTGTTTCAAACCGAATATATTACCATATATGGTAATTAAACCGCAGTTTAAACCGAACCAAGCCGAACCAAACCGGGAAACTCGGTTCGGTTTGGCCAAAATTTGCGAACCGAACCGGAGGTTCGGTTTCGGTTTTCAGCCTTTTTGCTGAAAACCGGACCAAACCAAACCACGGCAACACTAGCCGTAACGCGTTGGTCGAAACACCCAGAATCGTCGCTGACAAAGTCCGTACTTACCCAATCACCCAGCACACTAATACACGAGGAGATATTCATGCAGCGTTTTAAATCAATTTCAACGAGCCTTACTCGATTCATACCGTCCGACTATCCACGCTGGAGCACTCAGCCTGCTTAAAATTACCCATGTCTCCTCGAGCATCATATCACCCACAATGCTGCAAAAGCAGTTTCTGTTACCAACTCTTCACGCAGTTATCTTTGTTTCAATTATGTTCAATAAATTGACCCTCCTGGACGAAATCGTGGATATTCCTTATTTTGAAGCGAATATGCATTTCCCGCCCTCATCCAGCTCTGCCGTTCAGGCCAGATTATTCATCCTTCTGGTATTTTCTGAGGTATTTTCTGATATGCCATCTGCTTGTAAACCGTCGCCCCGCATATGCAATTCATGCTCAGTGATTTGTTTCTCTCATTTTTCCTTCCTTCGATTAACTCTACACATTAGGAGCAATGGAACTTTTGGTTTCTGCAGGTCGGCATTCTAATATACATCAACACTGAGACGCCTGGCATCCCCATACATATATTTTCCAAAAGCCGGGGCCGCTTCCTCGGTAACCTTTCGGGCAAACGTGTCGATTTTTCTGGGAGCACGGTCATCTCGCCTAGTTCCACTAAACTCATCGATGAGGTAGCCGTTTCTGGACGTATCACAAAGATTCAAACATACCCCGAGCGTATTACGGCTCGCGCTTGATGCGCGCGGGTGTGACAGACTCCAATCGGTTGACAATAGTCCTTTTGTAAATGAGGAAAAAAGACATCAAAGACGTCAAGATCTCCAGAATCGGGATCGAACCGATGACCCTGAGATAACTAAACAGCCTGTTACAGTCTCATGCTCTTCCAACTGAGCTATCTAGAGATTTCAATATTCCTAGACCACTTGTATTGTAACCTGTCTCAAGTAAGGGATGCGAATTGGCACAAATATAATACGTCATTTGTGAACACGTGAGAAACCTTATTCTCGTCCTCGAGTACTTCAGCGCCGAAGTCCACGCTCGAGTGGCCGGTTGGACTTCAACTTCCAACTTGTCCTGTATCTCCCTACTCAATCTCAGCATTTTTTTCAAAAGAGAAAAAGAAAAGGCTTTTTCCTTTTACATCGTCATAGACGTCATGGATAATATCGCACTTCTGAACGATGGTAGCAAGAAGACATTCCCCACACTTCTTGGCCCGGAGGTTTTTAGATCGACAAGAGCTGCACTATCTACCTTTGAGATCCTCATTCTCGTACTCTCGTTCAACGAACGGAAGGCCAATGCAAGGTGTGCTCGCGTTTGCAAGGGCTGGCGAGATCCGGCGCTAGAACTCGTCTGGGAATGCCTGTACTCTTTTCAGCCGCTGTTATGTTTGTTGCCGTGCATCGAGTTGCCAACAAATAACGAAGACAATGAGTACGAGCTAGTATGTATACTCTTTTGAAACAGGGAAATGTTTGCTCATAACATTGTACTAGAAACTCATGCGTCCGATCGAACACGCTGACTGGGAAAGGTTCAACGCATACGCAATGAAAGTCAAAACATTCGATTTCTGCGTACCACTTCCTGAAGGCGAGGATCCGGATGTCGCAGAGACGATCTTGGTGGAGTTGGCTATATCTAGGCCATCCATGACACTCCTTCCTCGACTACGAAAGCTCACGTGCGACTGGGAGTATTATAAAAAACTTCATCCACTCTGGCTACGATTTTCCAGATTATTTCTCCATGTCGACTTGCAAAGCCTGGAGCTCTTGATGCCTTCAGACATGACGAAGAAGAACCACACAGCAGTCTTCCTCCGAGAAGTTCCGTTATTGTCCCCCAGACTGACGGATTTCAGTCTTTGCCCGTCTCCTATGGCGGCAGAGCTGAAGGCAGATGTTGCAAAACTGCTTTCGCAGCTCAATAACTTGAGGACACTGCACCTTCCGCGATGCTATATCTCTCAGGAGATTCTCGACCAAATTGTATTGTTGCCTCACCTTTTAGACATCCATGAGATTTATGAGGACGACAATGACGTACGCGCAATGCCTATAATCATTCCTGACAGTTTGCACCATCTCCGCGACAGGCACGCTCTCACTAAACTCAGAAATCTCGAAATACATGGGTCGTTGGACTACGTCGGCACACTATTGCGTGTTTTTTTCAGTGGCCGATATTTGAAATACCTCAAGGTTTCCTTCGTGGAATATGATCTCCATAGTAATTCGTCGAACGGTACTCTGGAAGAGTTGATTAAGCTGTTCTGCGGAGAGTGCCCTGGTACACGGAGCTTGGCGATATCTTGCAACGACCATAACGCTAGCCATGGCTTCCCGGCCGACTACCCTGTTCCTGTCATTACAAAACAGATGCTTCAACCGCTGGGTACATTTCACTTGCTCGATGAAGTGAAAATTACGTACCATCAGCCGACGGATAATCTGTCAGATGACGATATTTTGGACGTTCTCGCAGGTCTTGAAAGGATAAGGTCTTTCCACCTCATCTGCAAAGTCGGAAGCAGAGAACATCCATCCCTCACACTTGCGGTCTTGGACAGGCTTGCCCAGCGGACCACGTCCTTAGAAGATCTTACTCTTCACGTCGACGCAACACGAATCCCTAAAAATGTCAGCTCCGCACCGTTCCTAGCGCTGAAGAGGTTGTGCCTTGCAGGATCGCCCATTCAGAGCCCGTCCGAAGTCGCAGTGTATCTTGGCCAGCTTTTCTTGCCTAGCAGCGTACTCGAGCTAGAGATCCCTTCATATTGGAAAGTGTCGCCTGAGATTACAGCTAGAAACACCATATGGAAAGAAGCCAAGTTGTACTTGCAGTTTGGCTATCGTTCCCGGACTTCGGATTGGGAGGTGATACGCGCACAGCGGTCAAAAATAGCTGATTTGGAGGCTCAGATAGCATTGATCTCGTCTGAAGACTAGATGCATTTACATCTTGTAAATCCAGAGAATGCCTTCACGAACATCTTGCAGGTTTTCCTTGAGTATCAGCTGCACTACACCAATCTACTATCTCAGCGCACAATCTGCACTGTTTCGAAACCGCTACTTTTTCTTCAAATGAATTTCGTCTCTTCTAAACTCTTTTCACCCAAGCTTTTTCTACCCCTTCGACACTGACAATTCATTACAATGTGGTATTCACCATCGACAGAAAACATATCGATTCCAATCTTGTCTCATTCAAAGACCCTACTTACTTACATAATGTTATGTGACGAATACACTTCTGGATGAAGTATTGCGATTAGTTACTGCGTGTCACATTTTACTTCCAAAAACAGAGTGCTTTGAGTTTTCGCGTCGCTGTCGGACAACATCAAGCAGGACGAAGAAACCAACGACAATCACGACGACGCCGACGCGCAGGACCTTTTCCTCGGGCAGCTGGAGGGCTGCCGCCGACCCCGTCGCGCTCCGATGACGACCATTCACGAGCATACACCGCGCAAGCTGTTGCGCAAGTCCAGTTCGTCCAGTTGTCCATTGATTAAGAGTGCTCACATGAGGTCGCGTGTCTGATACCTATTCTTATTGACAGCGCCCTCGGAAAGTTGGGACGATGACTTTGTGTTCCAGCAGAATGACGGACACGATCGCAAGAACGACAATGAGGCCTCGCCGCGACAGAGGAAGACGAGGGCACGCGAAACAGTTAACGTGGCGCTCAACGAATGCAACGACAAAGGCGAGCTTCTGTTTCATACACTGCGTTTTTATCTTCTATATTAAACTCAAAGTTATTAGAGCCAGGTTCCTCGCGGGCTACGAGGAATCCTCTGGATCCTTTGCGTGCTTGGTCGGAATCGCCGACCTCTCCCCGCCATAGGCGCGTCAAGCACGAGGAGAACTGGGACGATGATTTCGTGGATAATGTTGATTCTCCGGCAAGGCCTGGTTATCGGCGAGCTCAGAAACCTCGGCAGTCCGAAGATGTCGATCAGGAGAACTGGGATGAGGACTTCGAGATGGCCGGCGGCGGGGGCAGTCCCGGCGCGGGGCCGAGTACAAAGCGTTCGCGGGTCGACGCGGCGTGGGACTCGTCAGACGATGAGGGTGACGACCTGGACCGCGAACTCGGGTTTGATCGTGACGAGGAGGATAAGACAGTGACTGCGCGATCGCGACGACGACCATTGGGTGCGCTGGACAACGATGTACCACCAGTACCACCTTTGCCGTCTCTGCTCCCGACCATTCCATCAGGGGATGTACCTGGGCCATATGAATCACCCTTCCACCGGTCGCCTACACACTCCGTGTTCTCGATTCCGACTGTAAGTGGGCGCGATTCGATCACATATGGCTCGACTGCGCATCTTGCGCTCAGCCTGCGACGCACACACTCGGCGGAGTCGTCCTCGCCCGTCCACCAAAACACTGTCAATCGTTTTCCGGCCTCCAGCCCGAGCTCGGGGCCCCGAGAACGGAGGAGGCTGCGCAAGAAGAGTCGACCCCCGCATCTGGATGGGAGTATCATGGAGTTGGAGGACAGATCGGCTCCCGAGGCTCACATGCCCTTCCGCCCTGTCACGCCAGAAAGCCGTCCAAGTACACCTCCGCCCGTGACTTCTAGCGATGCAATTTCGCCAACAATCCTGAACACGACCACTCCAGCATCGATGTTATCGCCTGCGTCGCCTTCAAGTAAGAGTCCGTTGCTTACTCGGATTGGATCGCTTTCGCGCTGGAGTGCAGGCGTAAGGCGTAAGCACATGTCGACATCTGCAAGTCCTGCTGAGGCATCCACAGCTGCCGCAGCCGCGACACCTTCAGCGTTTCTCTTGTCCGCTGAAACTGATCGCTACGACAACAACAGGACTCCGCGTCCGCACTCGTACGTCTCTCCTTCTCCAGCTGCACAGTCCTCTAGCTCGGTAGCGTCGTCAAGCCGTTTTTTTCGAGGTTCTTCGGGTGGGGTGGCAGAAGGCCCGCCGCCGAGATCCAGTCTCGGGATCGAAGGCGCGCAGGTGGTCAGGGCCAGGTCGAGGGGACGGGAGCGCCCCCGCGTGATAGTTCCTGGGCCGATCCAAAACCAGTCAAGTCAATCTGGCGAAAGTGAAGTTGGTTCTTCCCCGCGAAAAACAATTAGAACGCTCGGCCAAATGCTGCTCTCCGGCTCAGGAAAGTCCGGGTCTCCCGAACGCCGTTTGGAGAAAGACAAATTTTTGTCAGATGCAGAATCACGTAAATCGCTCACTCGGACGCCGCCGCACCCGCCGTCTCCTCTTTCTGGGGAGACGCCGACACGTCTGAGGCCGCGAATATCACATCAGGCGCCTTCGGAACTCAAGGCGCGCCCGGTCTTTCCGCGACATGCTTCGGGCTCGGCCGTGCAAGACGACCACCATGCACACTTTGCTCCTAGCCTCTCTGCGCGCTCAGTCTCGGCGTCGACGTCGACTTCTGCTGTGAGTAGTGAGGAATTCGCGCACTCGGACAAGAACTTGGACAAGAACGCGGATAAGAAAGAGGGCCATCGTGGCTTCATGGGAAGCATGCGCAGGATTAGTCTTGCCGGTAGTCAGAGGCGACATCGAAGGGGTCAGAGCGTCGCTGCTGAGGAGACTGACGAGCCTCAGACATCGCCAGCTCCGGTTGTCGTCCCTCCTGTACCTGTCATTCCTTCTGATCACGTTAGCGATTCATCATCGAGCGGAGGGCTACTTCCACCGCTCGATCTTGATACGCGTCCTTTGGATATGTGTTCACCGGCGACACCACAACCATCTGTTCTTTTAAAGGGGATGACAGCGGTGCCTTCGTCGTTGTCCATGCCTGTCGATCTGACGTCCCCGTCATCCAGCCCCCCGCAGCACGATAGAATGCCTACTCCCCGGCGGTCTGGGGAGCCGACGCTCTCGCAC